AATTGTCATGTTTAACAATTAATAACAATTAATATTGAACCAAAGAGAATTAATATTCAATTTCTTCAGAAATATGCTTTCTTCCCATAAGATTTAAATATTATAACATACTTTTATATTGTATTTGAGGGTTAAGATACATTTTGTTTGTTCATTGATTAAAATAGACCATGGTCATAAAGTGTGTAAGCAATGATAAGAATATCAACAATTAAGTCCACCCCACAATTAAGACCACTTTGGTTCAGTCCTGATAGTGGCCTTAATTAAGGGTTTTACTGTACATATTTTTTATCACACAGCATATTAGTATTGTTTTCTGTTTTTTGTTGTTGTTTTCTGTTGTTGTTGTTTTTATGTTGTTTTTTTTTTGGTTACATTTCATGTTTTATATTTATTCTTTCATTTCAATAATCATGATTATATGCTTGTTTGTATTAATTTACATAACTGATCAGATATTATACACTTCAATATTGTCTGCACCCACTCTGCTTATACACATCTTAGACATTTGTTGATTACAACAAAGTGTGTTTATTCCTTGTTTTCCACTATCAGCTTTTGTGACCTCTCCTATCAGCTTACCATCAGATGTAAACTGTAAAACATTTTTGGATTGATATCCAGATACCAGCACACTACCTGCTTCAGTGAGATGACAATAAAAAGCACCCTGTAATTGTTTACCTTTAAATGTTGTAAACATCTGACCATTGGTCTCCAGTATTCTCAGTCCTTTATAAGGATCAGTAACATAAACCCTTGTAGCATCCCTACTGACAGCTATACTGTTTATGTCAGAGAACGGTTTCTGTCCTGACAGGTCAGTACTAAACTGTTTAAGTTTCCTGCCAGACATTGTATAGATATAGACTGATGTGAAATCAGAAATATATAAATGATTGTTTGCATATGCAAGACCAAGACAGTCAAAATCAGTTTTAATCTTGTTTGTTGTTTTCATTTGTCTGTCTACAGAAATCAAATGAACTTCCTGTTTGGTGTATAATGTTACTGCTACTTGTGTTTCATTAATTTTACATATTTGATATGGCTCTCCAGGTAGATTATAGCAATCTGTGATGGTATAATTGTGACAATCTAATCTTTTAAGCTTCTGGTTGTTGTAGTCAGCCAGGATTATTTTACCATCTTCCATATAGCAGGCACTGAAGATAGAACATGTGTATTCATCTGACTTAACTTTGGCACAGTATGATTGCCCTCCTGTAATCTGAAGCAACTTGTCAGCAGTTTTTGTAGTTTTCTCTGTCAGCATGCCAATGGTTTGGTTTTGTTTCAGCTGTTGAAGGAGATTTCTGTTAGGTTTGAACTCTGTGTCACTTACTGTTATCCTCGTTATGGTATCTTCTATAAATTTGTTGGCAACATTTTCAGCATCTTCCCCCATCTTCACATGAACAAACAATTCAGCTTGATTTGGGTTTGGAGATGTTAATTTATCATTAGCTGATTTAACCTTTGCTTTGTGTGTTTGTAACTGTTTGAGACCTTCTTCAATCTTGTCTTCAAGAAGTTTGAATTTATTTTCTATCTCATCTACAGAATTTTTCTCCAGCTTGTCTAGTTGGTCATTAATTTCTTGTCGGAATTTTCTAATAGCATCCAGTAACTCAGCCTTTCTATTCTGAAGGTTCTGTTTATCCTGTTGAAATTTGTTAGCTTGTACAGCAAGCGTCTTGACTAATGCCTTCAGCTTTGTTTGAATTTCTCTTGTAGCCACTTGGTATGATTTGTTTTGGATGAATTCTGGTATATAGAATATATCCTTACATGATCTGAAAAACAAATCAGTTTGTTAAAGCATCTGAAGTAGAAGAAGTGTTATATACTATAATAACAACATGTTTTTAAAAAATAATAATTTATTTTATTTACTTATAAAGTTTTATTGTTAAACATGTTACCACTTTACTAACTAAAAGAATGACTTAATATTAATGTCCTGGATTCACTATCCAATGGCATTCAAGTTTTTTTTTGTGTCGCCTCTGCGACATATAGGGATCACCTCTCCGTCGTCTGTCCGTCCGTCTGTCCGTCCGTCACAAAACTTGTCCGGACTACTCCTCATAAACTACTAGTGCAATTTCATCCAAACTTTACAGGAATGATCAGTACCAAGTCTTGTTGTGCATATTGTCAGCATTTTCCGGTTCAATGATTTTTGTCAGAGTTATGGCCCTTTAATAATTTTTATTTTTAAAGTTTGTCCGGAATACTTCTCTTATACCACAAATGCAATTTCAATGAAACTTTACAGGATTGATCTGTAGCTCAAGTCCTTGCGCTTATTGCACGGGTTTTCCTGTTGAATGATTTTTGGCCTAGTTATGGCCCTTTGATAAAAAAGTGTTTTTTTTCTGTGTGTTGACAGATACACAAAAGCTTGTCCGAACTACTCCTCATAAACTACTGGTGCAATTTTATCCAAACTTTACAGGAATGATCAGTACCAAGTCTAGTTGTACACAAAAGCTTGTCCGGACTACTCCTCATAAATTACAGGAATGATCAGTACCAAGTCTAGTTGTGCACTGTCCGTCTGTCTGTCCATCTGTCACAAAACTTGTCCCAACATAAAATTGGCCATCATGAGGCGACACATGTGATCACTGATCGCTCTTGTTTTTCTCAAAATTTGAAAATTGACTGACAGTCATTATCAGTTCTTGGTCAATGATCAGTTGATGGGAAACATCACTAAGCAGGCTATGGTGGCTGATTTGTGCCATTTGTATTTTCGTCCCGCCACCCCGCCAAGCGAAAAGTCGAGAATTTACAAGTTAAAATGGCGGGGTCGCGGAGCGAAAACACGCTAATTATCGGGGGCGCGCGGCGAAGTTTAACAAATAAAACTTCGCCCCGCGAGGGCGCAGAGCGAGAATTAAGAAATAAAACGGCGGGGGCGCGGGGCGAAATTAAATAAAATAAAACTTCGCCCCGCGCCCCCGCTAATTAGCGTGTTTTCGTCCCGCGACCCCGCCAAGCGAAAAGTCGAGAATTTACAAGTTTAAATGGCGGGGTCGCGGAACGAAAACACGCTAATTAGCGGGGGCGCGCGGCGAAGTTTAACAAATAAAACTTCGCCCCGCGAGGGCGCGGAGCGAGAATTAAGAAATAAAACGGCGGGGGCGCGGGGCGAAGTTTAATGAAAAAAACTTCGCCCCGCGCCCCCGCTAATTAGCGTGTTTTCGTCCCGCGACCCCGCCAAGCGAAAAGTCGAGAATTAACAAATTAAAATGGCGGGAGCGCGGGGCGAAAACACGAATGGCACAAATCAGCCACCATAGTAGGCAGACTCAATGGATTAAAGAATGATTATAGTAAATTAATGAAATAAATAGATATTTTAAAAAAAGTTAAATGATCATTATGCTAAAAGTTACCTGTGATCAATTGTCATACATGTAGAACAGCCAACATTATCATGATTCTGACAGTACATATCAATGTGTTTATGACTGTGTCTGTCACATCTCTCTGCTGGTGCCCTTGGCAGACCTTTACTGGTTCCTGAGTTAACTTGAGATTTATCCAACACCTTGTGACCAACACACAAAGGCACTTGACTGTGAATCTTTACACAATTTATGCAGAAATAATCATGACAGTCTACACAGAATTTTTCACCTTCAGTTTTTTTACCACCATTTTTACACATTGAACAAAGTACATCAAATATTTCATCAGAAAGAATATCAGTATTTATTTCTCCACCGGTAGCCATTTTGTACAATATCTTGTTTAAACCAGTTTACTTTGTTGATCTATACAACACCTAAAGACAGATGTAGCTTTTCCTTATTTCTTTATTTGCAGTAATCACATAGTCATTTTGAAAATACTTTTTGTAATTAAACGTTTATTCAAACCTTTACATTTCCATTGTCTCTAATACTGCTTTCTCAACAATATTAATTAAACATTTCCTTTCTTCCTTCATTTATGAATAAATATACCCCAAATAGTTTAACCTTTATATAGATAAAGTTACGATCATGAATGTAGTAATCAAAACATGTCATATCTCTCACAATGTATTCACCACTTTAAAATATTGATAACAAATTATTGATCCATTTTCAGAAAACTGAATAATTTTATATACTCATATTTCAACAATATGTGTACATAATTATTTTTTTATCTTTGAGTCATCTTGTTTAAATACAGTATAATAAACTATCTTCATCAAATTATAAAACACGTTTTTGATTATAAAAGAGTTGCCTTTGTGATTTTTGTGAAATTAAAGGCCCATAATGCCAAATAAATACTTTTATTTCTCAAAAACATTTAATTTTTGGTGTTCTGTTATAGTTTCCAAAATGTTTCTCACTGACCGATTACCTAAAATATCTTTTGTTACTGGTTTCTTAATTTTGGCAGTTACCACTGTTACAATGCTTAATATTTACATTTTGCTACTTTAATAAATAAATTCACCATCAGGCTATTTCCATCATTTGATTAAGATCTAACATGCTCAAAAATCCGTATTTAAACATTATAAAAACTTTTAAAAGACAATGATTTTTAGGAGCATTATGAGCCTTGAAGGTTTCTGGCATATTTTCACTTGACTGTCAACGCTAAGGGTTTAAATCATGCAAGTTTTTTTTTATTATTATTATTTCACTAACTTAGGGGAAACTATAATGTACCTTTCATGACCGGCATGTGGTTCTACTCCAATCTGACATATTGAAAGTCAACAGATGTTTTCCTCTTACAGTAAAGATGGGACATTGTCATAGTCTTTACATTGAAATCATTTTACACCCAAAAATTATAATGCAAAAAAGAAGCTAAGGGTGCTTCAGAGACTTTGGTCCGTTATGTAAATTCTTTGTGCAACACTTTTTTTAATTTGATTTTGTAAATTTCAAAAGGTCTTCAGCATATGAGGACATCTGCACATTTTTATGTGCAGTTTTAAATTCATAAGGTCTTATACAGTGAATAAAAGAAGTCAAGAAATGTTTGTGTAATAAACATGTTCACAATTGAGTAAGTTGACTTGCTATTATAACTCTATATAAAGAAATACTGAACACCTTGTATAGATAATTTTACAGTCTGTAGTATGTTTTCCGTATTTTCATAACCGTCTGGCCGAACCAGTGTATTGGTTTGAAGGTACATACTTTTATCTTACTTGTAAAACTTACCCGCTATTTCTTTTACACACACAATCTCTTAATTAAAAACCCCGACCCCTCCCCTTACCCCCGTCCCTCCACAAAAAATCAATTACAACACCAAAACACACACAAAAACAAAACAACAAAAAACATAATATATTATTTTGAAATCAAACGTATTCCAATTTTAATAAGCATATAATTTTTTCAGGTACTTGTAAGCAAAAATATAACTTACTGTGGCCAGCCAGTTGCGATCGTCGTAGCAGGTATATTTTAATCTGTTATAATTATCTTATCTTTAATTAAATGAGGCCGCAATGGTCGAGTGGTTTAATTCAATGACTAAATCATTTGACCATCGCCTTTGTGGGTTCAAGGGACAGTGACTTCTTTCACGAAATAATTCGAGGGCTATCCAGCAAGCGTATTTTAGGTCCGTGGTTCTACGCAGGTGCCCGTTCCGGTAAACGTCTATTGGCCTTGATTTTTTTCAAGATTTTTTTTATTATTCAGTGTCACTTCTTATATGTTTTTCTGCAATTTGCTTTAAATTAATATATTTAATTTCATCTATTTATGTAGAAACTTTTTGTCATTTTATATCCATACTTTCAGAATCATACGAAATAGCTCTTGGTGCAGTTTATGCTGTCAAGGTTACATACAGTAATGTACAAACTCCAGTCCTCACTTTGGAAGATGCCATCAACAAAAAGTCGTTTTTCCCGAAACAGTGTGATGACAAAGTTGTCGGTGACCCAGACAGTACGTGATATAACAATTGTATAAATACTATTTTATGTGATCGTAAAATGTATAAGAAACAACATGTTCTAAGAAAATAGTTTCCACTCCCAATGGTTCACATTTTTCCAAATGAAACTCTTATACTTTTGCAGCAATGCTTTTAGAAATTGTGTACAATGTTACCCCATATTTGTTTATCAAAATATGGCCGCATTTCTGCTAGCATAACGGGATAGTCCATGGGCATCGTGGAGCGTGGTAATATTTATTATTCAGATATTGAAACGAAACGTATAAAAACAACATTTTAAGTAAAAAAATCAGAGGTATTGGCGGTGCCTCTTGTTACCTTGAAAAATGCCACGTTATCACCCACCATGGTATAGAGCCAGATAAGACTGCTCGAATGTGCATTCTGGCCTGTCTTTATACAGGAAGCAAAGGCTTATCAGAGTTAAGAACTCTTTGTGGTATGGTAATCATATTCCGGATTAAGCTGTGCTTGATTCCTATCAACATTTTTTTATATCTTAAATGAACTTTCAATAGTTAGACTAAATTTTTACCCTTATCATGCGGGAACCAAAAGGGATAACTTTTTGTCACCGGCATAGAGTCTGGCCAGGATGCACAGCCGTGTAGTCCGACCAGACTCTATATTATTTCTGACCAACCTCAAATTTTCATCTTGATATTTCCAAAAATGAAAATGGACTGTTCCAAATGTGTTGCTGGACAAGTCTATTAAATAAAACCCAGCTGGTAAATGGTTAAACAACTTTCTAACATCTATATTGCCCATTCAACAGTTTACTGTATAACTGGTTTTATTTGCGTTAGATTATTTTTCGCTAATATTTTCGTATTAATTTCCTCATAAATTCATTATATCATAATAATAATAATAATAATAATAATAATAATAATAATAATAATAATAATAAAGACTTTATTTAACGAGAGAACTCATTTGAACAAACATATCAATCTTCCATGAGGCCCTCAACAAGGAACAATGTAAATTTAACATATTCAAACTATTAAAATACATAAATGTAAAACATACAGGAGATTATCAATTTGCATACATGGATGTGTGATAATACCTCAAGTATAAGGTTTTAAAATGGTTAACAGATGTAGCAGACTTAATATAATCAGGAAGGCCATTCCAAATACAAGATCCAGAATAAACAAAAGACTTACGAAATTGTTCAGTATTTGGTCTAGGGGTATAAAGTTGAAAATCAGATGATGAACGCAAAATGCGAGTATGAACATCTGACGATAAAATGAAATTATTCAATAAATAGGTAGGCGCCTTATTATTCATTATTTTAAACATCATAATAGCTTTTTGAAAAACAACCCTCTGTGAAAAGGTCATCCAGCAGAGTTCAGAAAAAAGTTCAGCAGATGGAGTGTCATAATCTTTGTCTAGAATTAGTCTTGCAGCTCTCTTTTTGGAACTTAATGAGTTTATCTTCTAGAAAAAGACATACAGTTACCGTAAATTATGCAACAATAATCAAGATGTGGTAAAATATATGCATTGTAAAACATTTTACGTACAGGTATAGATATGAATAATTTAATACGTGATAATAAATGTAACAATGAGTGACACTTTTTAAGAACATTATCAATATGGCTTTGCCAAGACAAGGTGTTATTAATTGTAATACCCAATAATTTTTCTTCAGAGCTACAAAAAATTTGCTCTGTTTTATATAAAATACAAGGATTACTTTCATGGATATAATTTTGCTTGTGTTTTGAGGAAATATACATGACCTTAGTTTTGTTAACATTGATAGACATGCGATTCAAATCACACCATTTGTTGGCATTTAAAAGATCATGAGTAAGAGATTCTGTTTAGGGATACATCAGAGGTTGAAAGGGTAGTGTCATCAGCAAAAATATCAGTTTCTGTTTTTTCCATAGACAAAGGCAGGTCATTGATATAGATTAAAAACAGTATAGGACCTAGCACTGAGCCCTGAGGAACTCCAGTAGTTACTGAACTTGACTCTGAATATAAACCGGATATGTAAGTTTGTTGGGTTCTGCAATCTAAATAGGAGGAAAACCAAGCAACTGATGAAAGGTCTAGGTTATACATTCTAAGCTTTTCAATAATAATAGAGTGATCCACATAGTCAAAAGCTTTAGAGAGATCAAGGAAAATTGAACCAACTATTTCGTTTTTGTCAATAGCTGTAATCCAGTCATCAATAACTCTAATCAATGCTGTTTGACATGAATGATTTGACCTGAATCCAGACTGACGTTGGTAAAGAAGTTGATTTTTCTCAAGGTATTGCTTTAAATGTGAACTGACATGACGTTCAAGAATAAGTGATATCAAGGGAAGTATGGAAATTGGCCTATAGTTTCTTTTATCACTTTTAGAACCCTTTTTATGTATAGGAATGACTTTTGCATTTTTGAATGATTTAGGAAATGTTTTGTTTAGAATACTGTTATTGAATATAGTGGTAAGTATGGGAGCAATAATATGAGCCGATAACTTTAGAAACCTTGCACTGAGACCATCTGACCCACATGACTTTGAAATATCAATCGATTTTAATTGGTTTAACACATAAGAGATCTCTATTTTAGGTATTTTGAAAGGGGGTATATGCTGAAGTTTAGATGCATTTACTTCAACAAGCTCAGGATTTTCATAACCAGTCTGATTAATGGCATGATGTGATTGATTGAGATTTGCAAATTGTCTGTTGAATAAATTTGCAGTGATTAAAGGGTCAGAAACCGGGTTGCCATCATCATCATCAATAAAATGTGTTTGAACCTTGGATTTGTAACCAGATAATTCATTTAGACCAGTCCATAATTTCTTTGGGTTGTGTTTGTTTTGATTGATGGTATCATTATAATATTGTCGCTTAGAATCATATATGAGAGACTTAACGTGTTGTTTCCATATGTTGTAATTATATGTGTCATTAACCCTATGAAACTGGTGTTTTGTTTTAATAGCATCGAGGATGTTTTTATTAATCCAGTTTGGTTGGGTGACCTTCTTTACTCGTTTTTTTCTGGTTGGTGCATGTTTTCCAAGGACAGACAAAAATTTATCAGTGAACAAATCTATTGAGTTATCTTGATTTTCTACAAATGCTACTTCTGACCAGAGTTGCTCTGACAATTCGGTTAAAAATCGATTTTCATCAAAGTGTTTAAGAGACCGGAAGGTTATTGTCTTATGCATGGGACCTTTAACACTGATATTTGAAAGTTTGCGTGTAAGACAAATGGGAAAATGGTCACTAATGGATAAGGAAGGTACAAAAACATCGACTACATTTTGAGGCATGTTTGAAAATGCATGATCTATCAATGTAGCAGAGCTTGAAGTTACTCTGGTAGGAGATTCAACAAGCTGAGAAAAATTTACAGACTGCATTAGATCTAACCAAGATTTAGAACAATTATCATGCTTTAAAATATCATAGTTAAAATCTCCAATAACAATACATTCTTTTTCCTCTAAATATGATTTTTCTAAGGATATAGCAAAATTATCAAGCCACTCAACTTTAGAAGATGGTGGTCTGTATGCATAACACAATAATAACGATTTACATTTAGGCTGTTTAAGTTCAAGCCAAATGGATTCAATAGAAATACTTTCTAAATCAGATCTATGTACAAAAGATAAACAGTCTCTAACATAAATAATTAAACCGCCTCCATTGGAAGGCCTGTCCTTGCGAAAAAGTGTAAAATTGTCCAACTGTAGTTCATTGTCTAGAAAATTTACATTTAGAAACGTTTCACATAAACAGAGTATATCAATTTTTTGTTCTGAAATTATAATTTTGAGTTCGTCTAATTTTGGGTACAAATAGTGAATGTTAAGATGTAGTATGTTCAACCCTTTATGCGTGTACCATGAGTTACTATTCTTATTGGAGTCATAGTTTAAAGTATTGTCGTTTACAATTTCATTAGTCAAATTAACATTGGTTTCTCCATATTGAAATGAATTACTTTCACAAATATCTAACGACGGCGATCCCAAGAATTCTGATTTCTCAGCCATGAAGTTGGTACTGGCATGTAGACCATGTTCTCGTCTCTCCTCCCTGTAAACCTCCCTTTCTGAAAATGAGACTTGTTGTCCATTGTGTTACTGCTATGGTCATCAGATGGCATCGTAGATATGCCTAGGACATAGTTTATAGCCTTCCTCATGTTTGTTTCAAACAGTTTTCCACCCTTTCTATTTAGATGTTAATAGTCTTTATACAGCGATTTGTCTGGAGTACCATGCAGGAAAAAGTCAGAGTTATGGTTGATATAGTGATGACCACCATTTGCACACAGATCTCTAAACCTGTTGTTGGTTTCAGATATAATGGTGTTGACAAGTTTGTCATTTCTTCTAGGTAGAATTGAAGAAATGATTATTTTACACTTTGAGTTGATGGTTTTTACAGTGTGTATTGTATCCTTCAGCTCATCAACTATGTACTGGCTGGAATCTGCATCAGATATATTATTTGTGCCTACATGAAGTAATATTACATCTTTATCCTTTATTCCATTTGAATCTGTATCATTCATTGATATGAAGGTATTTTCAATTGTGCTTATTCTTCCACCAGAGTGAGTCTTGATGTTAACTTTCACATTAAAGTCTGACATTCTGTTCGCACTCAGGATACCTGTCATTGAATCACCTGCTATAAATGCAGAGTATTTAGATTTTGAATTTTGATTTTCTGTTGGCCGAGTGTTATTTTCAGGGTTTTTTGTGTTAATTTGTTTGTCTTTCTCAATATTATCCTGTTTATGGGACTCAGGCGAGATCGTTTTTTCAGCAGAAGTCTGTATTACCGATCTACCAATTTGCTGTTTTACTTCATACATTTCTTTCAACAGTTCATCTCTCAAGTCTTTAATGTCTTTAGCTACTTTCTTTCCTACACACTCTGTCACACTTTCAATTTTCGATTCGATACTGTCTGCTTTCATTGTAGACTTGGCCAATCGATCGGCTAGTTGTGTTTTCTCTTTTGACAGTGTGACATTTTGCTTCTTTAATTTTTCATTTGATTCTTCAAGTACAAGACATTCAGCTGTAGCTTTGCTCAGATTATGTTTCAGTTTTGATAACTCACTTTCAACTTTTTCACACTTGTCATTTTGTTCAATGACTTTCATGCGTAGAATTTCATTTTCACGTTTTGTATTTTCTAGTACATTGAGCAATTTTTCATTTTCACATTTCAGAATTTTGGATTGAGACAGAAACTGTTTTAATGTGTTTTGAAGGTCTTTGTTTTCTCCCATTTGCTTTTTAAGCTCTTCATTGTTGTTATCAGTAGTATCTTTGTTAACTAATGGACATATTAATGGTTCACTTTCATAATTATCAACCATACCTTTTACAGACCCATCAGTACTGATGATAACAGACAGATTGTCACACTTAATTACGTCTTCATTCACTAAAGGTTCATTTATATCAGACTCAAATCCTTCTTTCACTAAAGTTTCATCACTATTTGCATTATTTTCAATCTGAACAATTTTTACTTGCTCACTTTTTGATGATTTTTCAGCTACTGGCTGTTTGACAAAGGTTTGCTCATTGTTGTTGTTATTGAAAAGTGTTGCGCTACCTCCCTTTAAATAAGACACGCTTCTTTGATTATTTGGTCTAATTGGTGTCCTGTTTCGTGGACTACGCAAGAGATTTACCATGCTAGATAGATACTGCAAAGGACTTTTGGATGTTCTACTACTGGCTGGAGAACTATCATTTTGGTTTACTTGGTTTGAAGATTGCAGATTGTCTGGAATGGTTACACTCAAGTTATCTAATATCGTTTTAAAGATTGTGTTCTTCCACTTCCAACACCCTTTCCCTTGAATAAATATTGTTTTATTTTCATAAATTGTGACAACAGTTTTCTTTTCATTTTCAGAAATGTGTGTTTCAATACCATTAGTGTTTTTGTTTAATTTAAAAGAGTACTTTTTACATAGATAATCCTTTATTTCTTCATATGTTTCCTGTGTAAAAATTGTAAGAGTGATGGCATCAGTTTTATTTGAAAATTTTGTGTTATATAATACACCATCATTTCTATCATTAAAATCGATAGTTTCTTCCATTTTCACATTTTACACTTACCTGAAATCGCATTGTAATAAAAATTCCGTATTATAGTCAATTTTTATCATAAATTTAGATGATGAGCTTCGTTATTTACTTTATGACGCGTTTATCTTTTTAAATAGCAAACATATAGGTTTCAACGTCTTTGCTTGATTTGTTTCTTTTGAAAGTATAAAAATAATTAAACGATCCGTATTTCTAAGTTTATCCTTTACTATGCATTTGTTTTCATATGAATTGTATCTCTTCTAAAAAAAGGAAGGATATGTTTTGTTTTAGCCTATTATGCTGTCTTATTTTCTTAAACTTAATTTATTTGTAGCTGCAATCGCCCAGTCACCTAAGAAGATACAGGGAGTCATCTCCATGGGAACGCAATATCATTTTCACATGGAAACACAGGTAAAGCAGCAACAAAAAAGCTCATACATGTATATATTTCAGTTCCATTGACTCAATTCATGAAATATGAGCCAATATTGCTATATGAAGATACAATGTGCATACAGCGTCTAATAGGAAACAGTAGCGATATTCTAGGATATATATTTTCAAACAAATGCGTTTGATTTCGATAGTTTTGTACAAAAATATAAATAAAAAACATAATTATACGATATTAATTTCGTGAAATTTCGTAGATTAATTGATGAAAGAGTGTTTAATATTGACAGATATATATATATATATATATATATATATATATATATATATATATATATATATATATATATATATATATATATATATATATATATATATATATATATATATATATATATATATATATATATTAAAATAAAGATAAAAACATACATACATCCATACATCCATGCAACCATCCATATATCCATCCATCCATCCATGTATTATTTTCAGGTGAGTCTATGTGTTCCCACCGAAGACGGCATGGATGTATTTTCAAGTACACAGTGGTTAGATCTTAGTCAGACTGCCATTTCACAAGTTACTAAACTGCCGAAAAGCAGGTGAACATCTTAGCTGTTAATGTTATTGATGGTCAGAATGTTTATTGAATAATTTTAAATGAAATATGGAGAACTATTGATGAAATAATATGCAATAATATTTTCTATTTCCGTATTTTCACTATAATCATTATTTTTTAAACAGCAGTAAAATATATTTTCCGTATTTTCACTCGTGTCTTGGCGGACTACATTCTTCTAAAGTATATTAAATGAATAAATATAGGACAAGTCTTTCAAATCGTAAGATTAAAAAAGTATAGAAATAGTTAATAATAATCAGAAAAATCAAGTTTTTTTTTTCTATAAATACAAGATAGATTTTCATCTATGATATGCACATTTTCACAATTCATAATACTGTGCCGTACCCTGTCATGCGGGCCTATACAAATGTACAATACAATGTGTACCTCTGCCTTGTGATTACAATCACCTGCTACTTCCGACCACTGTACCTTTCGTGGAAGCCTATTTATTTTAACTTGTACCTTTCTTGTGATGATCAATCCCGAAAATAAATACTATATTTATAGGAAAAAAAACTTGAATATCCTCTATATATTATATATTTAAGTTTATTCTTAAGTAATACTTATTGTAATAACAATTTCTGTTAAGTTGAACTACATTAATAAGGTCCAAATTGCTTTATATTTCTAATATTTTGAAAAATATTAAAAAAAGTTTATAAAAAATTAACTAAGGGAAAGGGAGGTAAATCTAGCGATCTTGTAAATAATGAATGTTATAAATTTTGTCATTCAGTATCAACGTACAAGTGAAGAGACTTGGGGGAGCGTATGGTGGTAAAATAACCAGGAATAGTTGGATTGCAGCTGCTTGTGGGCTGTCTGCTTATCTGACAAACAGGTATATATCTGACAAAAATATATTTATCTGACAAAAAGGCATTAATCTGACAAATTAGTATGATCTGACAAACTGGTATTTATCTGACAAAACTGGCTTTTATCTGACAAATGAGTATTTATCTGACAAGATGATACTTATCTGACAAATAAATGACTTGTTATCTGACAATTAGGAGTCAAATTAATCTGACAAAATAAATTTATCTGACAGGGTATGTATCTGACAAACAGGTATAACTTATACTTCAAGAATATTTTTATCTCACGAAAAAAACAAAAACAACAAAAATAGAAAAAAAAACGATTTTATAATTACACTTTGCTTTGTTTTAATAGCAAAATTTAAAGCATTATTATATTAAATTATATTAAGTGGAATACAAAACGTGCATGAATGACCTTATATTAGTTCATGTAGTTAGAAGCTTTCTGGCGGAGGAACATTTCAGATGACTGTCCGTGACTTATTCCACGGGTCGAACAGACGAACAGACATCTAAGAAGAAACATTTGACTTCTTAAAATTTGCTAAATAACTTTCACTCATGAAGGAACTTATTCCATTTTCTCGTCTGCAGTTCTTGATAGCTCATGCGCCCAAAAATGTTTTACATTCAGTCTACAATTGCATCAAATATATGTGCAAATTCTAAAGATTGCTTTTCTGTTTCGGATACTGTTTTATGTTGTTTGGGGTTTTGTTGTTATTGTTGGTATCTTTTCTTCCTTTTTTTCGGTCGTCTAGTCGGCCAATGTTTAAATCTTTTTCAATATTGACGGCGCACTGCAAAAACTGCACTGCAAAACTTTACTTTCGATTTTGATGAATAGAAAATTTGTAAATTCGAAGTAAATGTATATACATGTATAACATACGCAAAAGACTACGAAGAAGAATAAATAATGTACATGATTTATATTCTATATATATATATATTAGATATCGTTTATTTACAGGCCTGTTAAATTTCGACTAACTCTTGGTGACAATATGAAGGCCATTGGCAAGCGTTTTCCGTTTAAAGCACTATACGAAGTGAGTTGCCACATATTTTTGACAGAATCCTAAAACATGATATTAAGATAATATATAGAAAATGTTACTTAATGTTTAACCAGAATAAAAAAAATGAATTCATACAATTTGCCTCCTAAAAAATCACATTTGCAAGAATGCGTGTGACACAATTCTTTTTTAAAAATGGTGTTTTACGTTACTTTTTACCATTAAAGCAGCTTGTCTCAAGATTCATGTATAATTTCGTGTAATTTTTAAATTGTTTTAAAAAGTAAGATACAGCAAAAAGTAAGATATAGCCAAGTGTACAAGTAAAGAAATTTACTCATAAGATTTACGTAAGTACTAAACAAAAGTAGGTCACAATATGCAAAAATAGCCCATACAGCGTTTGTCACGAACTAGAAATATGGTGATTAATACTGCAAAATCAGTTAACAATTGTGAATAATATGTAAATTATTTATTTTATGCTCTTGAGTGGATTACTGATTTATCCGCAAAATTTATAATTATTTAATAATTTCACAGCGAAAATTACCAAAATAAAATCTAACACTTTCCAATGAAGAGAAGATTTTCACCATGCTACGCCACTCGTGAAAATACTGATTTTGAAGATAACGAGATGAATTTAAATTTCATATTACACAAAAAACTAACAAATATCTGCTATTTCTTGAATTGTGAATATTTTTCTCAAAATCTTTTTACATTTTTTGTCAAGGTAGATTTTCTTGAAACATTTTGGCTCAACTAGAGGCATGCAACTTTAATGATGTGAATCGGAGATAATGTAATATATACACTGGATTAATACACAGGTGGTACTTGTTACTGAATTGATACAACACGTTTGTACGTGCTATTTTCAGTGCACATCTATTTTTAGTTTACAAATCATTTGCATGAAATTTGCGACACTAAACAGAAAGGTCTCATTCTCGGTCGATATCCTATGCACATTATACTTTTTTTAGCGCAGACATTTTGCAAGAAATCATGCTACATAAAAATAAAAAATACAACTTTTTCACAAGCTTAAATTGATTACAATTTATAAAAATGTAGGTTGGTATGACGGAGTCTGGACAACTGAATGGCATAAAGGTTACATATTATGGCGATTGTGGAAACAGCCCAAACGACAATTCACTTCCACAGATGCAGACGTGGGCTGACAATGGTATCTCAATACATAGTCATTTTTTCTGCTCGTTTATAACGCCGTTTTTCATTGGTCAATCGCTATGTTTATATTTCCTTTTTTTAGATTTTAACCAATGAAACACTTTCGATATGTAGACAAGAGAGACTGTGTGATTTATGAGTTATGCACAAGTCATTTGTAACACCGCTACCCCTTCCCTCCCCCTCTCATCCGTGTCGGTGCGGAAACTATCGGGGTGGGGGATTTAACCGAAGTTGTACCTTCCGCCTGTCCCCGCACTTATTGATCAATGCCGTGGTTTCACTTCTTGGATAAGACCAACTCTGCAAAGCGATTACATCTAATTTAAACATACAATCATTTTAACACACTTTTAAAAACTTATTTAGGCTTGATTTGTTTCTGTCATCATTATGATAATTGTTGGGTACGCTCCATAGATCAATCCAGTACGGGGTCCATGATAGGAAACGTGGGTGGTAACCCGTGAAGTACTCGCACCACGATACATGAGTTGAGAGGCAGATACCTTCAACCAGTAAATCCTAGGCTCTTCTGCTTTCCTAGTGGAGGAAAAGGTTTAGGGCGGGGTAGGGGGCACAACGCGGACATTTGACCATTTGACTGTTTCTGCAGGGCGTCACCTTTACAAGAGGTTACGTTCCATTTAGGGTCGGCAATCAATTCCGGGATTTCATTATGCAGTTTAAAACAATTAAGTTAGGCAGTTTTTTTATGCGACCAATATTATTTGTTTAAAAATTATTTTGTTATTGTATTGGGGTGATCCGGTAGTTTGTTTCCTCATTTTTTATAATGCAAGCTTTTTAGATTTCAGTCTAAGATACAGCTTTAGTGTTTGTTTATGCTGCATTGATTCTTTCTTTATTCACCGCTTTGTTTATTATGCAAAAATGCACTTACCACATTACATAATCAATATAAACAGATGGCAGTTGAATGTATGTACAACCAAACCTGTGAAAAATGGCCCCTACCACATTTTTGACAAGTGAACTTTATTTTGGAGGTTACTCTTTTTAATTTTAAATTAATGAATTGTTGTTAAAGGGTGGCCTTTATTTACAGGAATGTGTTTATTTGGAGGTGGCTCTTTAACACAAGTATGACTGTACATGTCATTACAATCATAAATATAAAAAAATCGTCATTTTGCAAGCTATGATATCTAACAGAAGGTAAAATACAGCTATATGCACCATTTGCTTAATCTGATATCGAGTTTAGTTGTAAAATAAAAGCAATCTTTTTGTTGCATTTTCAAGCAATACTATTGTCCAAATTGGTCGATATCCTGCGTGGCTGTAAAAAAAAACAAACCTGCCAATACAGCTGCAAGACATCTCCTGGTAAAGATATTTGAACTGTCACGTGACTTTTCTGATTGACATTGACACAGAATTATGCAAATGTATTTCTGAATATTATGGTTAACATCGGCGTTTTTTCCTTTTGAGTTAACCGCCAAATTTCATTACACCCCTTGGAGTACATTTCTTTAGATACCAAAGTGCGTTATATTAGAGAAAAAAACTATACAATAGTTCGTTTTGTACACTTTGTTAATTACGAAAGTAAGATTGTTTTTTTTTAAATTTTCATTAAAAATAACACTGATCAGTGGCTTACTGCTTTAAACAATTATACCTTTTTGATATTTATGAGAATTAAAGAATTCTATATGATACTATACGAGTATATATAAAGATAATATCACAAGATTTATTTGGCATAAATTAAAGGTTCGTTACCAGCAATTTTCATCATGGAATCCATCATGGAGCACGTAGGGGAAAGTCTTAACAAAGATCCATTTGAAACTAGGCTCCTGAAACATTGTTCACTGATACACAGGTAAGACAGATATTGAAAACACGTTCTGAACATGTTCATTGATTCACAAGTAAGACAGATATTGTAAAAACGCCTTCTAAACCATATTCATCCCCACGCCGAAAGAT